CTTGGGTTAGCCGTGCCTGAGTGACAAGCAACTATTTTCAAGCAGCATAGCTTAAGTCAAGAAAAATCTATCTGTCAATGAAGATTTTTTAGTTCGATTCCGATCCAAGGTCTTTAAACCGAGAAGAAGACCGAAGGGCAACAGGAAGCCACGTGCTGATTCAAATTCCGAACTACGGCTTCAATTTCACATCATTTCCAAATGAACTCGACTTCACAATGGAGGAGTCATCCGTAACTCAATTCGACAGGGAGTTATTGAAACATCAGAGTCAATTTTCAACTCCACTGAACGAAAAGTGTGTCTTTTAATCTTTGTCTTATTCCCGTTACACGACTATGGGCAAAGAGGGGCAGCTGTCAACACACCTTTTCGTCCTACTAGGATCAAAACTCCTAAAAATAGGATAAAATTTTGCTAGGATTCAAACTCCTAAAAATAGGATAAAATTTTGCTAGGATTCAAACTCCTAAAAATAGGATAGATTTCTACTATTATTTAAACTCCTAAAGATATGATCCACAAGCATTATAAATAGTCATTGTAACACATTCGGAGAAGGATATACGAAATACCAAGCAAAAAATTACAAGCAACTCGTAGCCATTTTTCGAAACATTTATATTTTGAAAGGTAAAGTTCATACATTCGCATGTTATTTTTCCTTACCCTTGTTGTGTTTTGATTCAAAAGAAAACTGAGAGAAGTGTTTTTGGCCGATGAACGTGAGCGTTTTCGAGATCTATTTTTGTAGATCTAGTCCCCGAGGCTTGTGTTTTTGAAAAACTATTCGGATTTTTATAAACGGATCGTGTGGATCCGCGTGTTTTGTCGTTTTTTTCTTCGATTGACTTTTAATTTTGACCCCTAATTCATTTTTTATTTTAATTTAACCCTTATTATTTATATGTATAAAATATATATTATATTTTATTTATTTATTTATTATAATTTTTTTCATTTTTCTTTGCGTTATATATATTATTTTCCTATTATTATATATATATATATTATTATTATTTTTTATCTATGTTTACTTATTTACTATGTTTTTTTACTATATTTTTCTAACGTTATATATATATATATTCTTACTTTATTTTATTTTATATTTCTATGATTACTATTTTTTAGTTAATATTATATGTATATTTATTTTTCATTTATTTATTATTATTGTTACTATTTAGTATATTATACATACATTTTTATATATATTTTTTATTTTATTATTTTATTTATACTATTTATTTATTTTCATTATGTTTTTAGTTTCTTTATTCTTATTCTTATTTTTCTTTTTTTTAAAAACATTTTACCTTTTTTATTCTTTTTTGTATATATATTTTTTTTCTTCATTTATTTTATTTTATTCAATTTCATTTTTTTATTTGTTTCATCCAATTATTTTATGTTTATTATTATTGGTTTCATTTATTTCCTTGGTTTACTCTTTAGTTTTGTTATTTTCTTTTATTATTATTATTATTTTCTTTTAACATCTTATTTTAATTTTTTAAGGGTATTTCCGTAAACTCATTAAGGGTAAGTAATTCGGTTCAAGGGTGCTAATCATTCTTTGACCGTAACCGACTCACGAACCCGACACATCTTTGGAAAGACGCAGATCAGGTAAGAAATAGGGTATCTGATCAACCCATTTGTTTTAAATAAATGATCGGTGGCGACTCTCAATCCATATTTTTCAAGTCGAAACTCAATTCCGGAGCCCAACCGAAAGACGGTTGCGATAACACCATCGGGAACAAAGTCGGTTTGGAGAATTTTCCAGCTATCGTGAAACCCAGCAATGACAGCGTTTTGGAGGATGATTCATCGATTAAAGTGGATTTTTCAGCTGTTATAAACGATTCAATCGGGTTCTTTGCAGATAAATGAAAATTGATGGCTTTCTATTCGAAATATTTCGCGGGATACTCTCCAGAATGGAGATATCAGCGAGGACGGTGGTGCCGATGAGGGGAAAGACGTTGGTGGAAATTCCGTTGGGGGATGAGGATTCCATCAGAGATGAAAAGTGTTGTAAGCAGAATTGCTGATCCAAAGATTGGGATTTCATTGATGGTATCGGGTTTAAACAAAAGGGAAAGTTCATGAACTGGGATGTAATTCCCACTGCTGTTAGCTTATATGCCTTTTGTTAATGTACTCATCCAGTTTTCCCTACACTTTACACTTCAATGAAGAAAAGGCACCAACTCTCCAACGTAAGTATCTGCAATTCTCATATTGTTTGTTTCTGCAATTGTCTGACTAGTTTTAAATTGAATTTAAAATTCTGGGTTTGATTTTGGGGGTGTATTCAATCGTGATTTTCGGGTAGAGGTTTGATTTTGGGAATTTGTTTGCTTTCTTTGTTTACTTTCGAGATTAAGGGATTAAGGGTCAAGACCAAGTACATGAACGAACCGCTTGAGCCCCCAAACACCCTCTACCCATCGCTTATGAAGATTGTTGGACTGCTCTACATTGGGTCGTTTCTCGTAATTCCGATGGCGTTTCCGACAAGGAGTTTTGGTTATCGACTTACGCCGATTTAGGGTAATTGTTTACTTAAAAATATTTTGTTTATTGCCACGTCACTAAAATTGTCACAATATAAACTAACTGTTCGGTTAGTCAAAACGACCAATGGTATAAATCAATATAATTAAACAACTTCAAGGGTAAAATATACGAAAACACGATAGAGGTAGAATTGATAAATTTGATCTACTACAGGGGCACGTGTGACCCTTAAACCTAAAAATAAAAAACAATCAAAGCAATGTCAAGAGTTTAAACGATTAATAATATTTGGTTTTCTTATGTTTAACTATTTGCAACAAAATCTTTTATTTCTGCTGAAATTAAATAAACCTAAAAACCAAATTCACTGCAAATCAACAGATTAAAATCAATTGTGATATTTAAGCATGATAAAATTATGGCCTCAAGAGCTAAAGAAAGAAAAAAATTTCTCAATTATAAATAAATTGTGTATTTTAAATTTAGGTATAAGCATATGCAAACTAGAGATATGAGAGTTAGATTCAAATAATACTTTTTACATTACTGTGGTAGTTGTATTATTTTTCGGGTGGAGAAATAGTAGAAGATAAATAGGTTATTTCTGGACATCTGAAGCTTTTGAGGAAGATATATCAAATTGAAATGAAGTTAGGTAGCACAAAATCAGTAAAACTATAGAAACCAGAGATAAATGAGTTGTTTTGGTGTCAGTGGGAACTATTGCTACAAAGTTTCGGTTACTTGCTCCTTAGTTCGAATGGTCAAGTCTGCAAGACATCAATTTCAACACAATTCCCGTTATCCTTCAACTTATTTGGATGGTGGTACCTTCATTTTCTTGTTTGCAAAAACCTTTACAATACCTAAAGAAAACATTTATATGTTTTCTATTACTCTTTAGTTCATTATCGCCTATTGAAGCATAATTTATGCACGAAGTAAACAAAGCTATTGCTACACAAATATTAGGAAAAATTATAAATACATCCCATGATCGTTGTTTTTAACAGACCAAATTCAAATATTCAAATAAAAATTAACCCATCATTTTATGGTAATTCGTCAATAATGTTAACGCTTAAAGTAACCTCGTCAGTCTTGTATCTTTTCTTGAAGTTTACAGATTAGTTAATCCCCAATCGAAAATTGTTTGAACCTCTTCTTTTTATCAAATTAGAAAATTTTGGTGGTAAATTTGATATAAAACCATTGTTCAATTACCTACTTGATGTTTTAATAATAGTTTAAAGATAAAAATGAATATCGACATTCTTATTAACGTTACCACGTCATTAATTTAATGGGGGAAAAATGAAAACTTGTTCAACCATTAATAATCATGTAGTTTACTCTATTATTTATGTTTCGGATCATACATAATCCAATATTGAGAAGAAGCTATGATTTGGTGGGGCGGATGGCAATTCATAAAAGAAGGTTTAGGGCATCCCGATCCCTGTAAATTAAACAGAACCTCGTGTTTAAAGCATAACCAATCCTTTTAGGCTCATATATGTTAAGATTCCCGACCAAATCATGTGTGTTCAGTGTTTCGGTCAGTACAAGTTCTCAACTACTTCACATCAATCGATCAAAACCACGTTTTACACCTACAAAGATTATTAGTACGAATGAAATGATTTTAATAATAAAAGAATTATATTTTTTAGATATTAGATTTGAGTATTAAAAATGTTAGAGGTGTTAATATTTAAATATCAAATGGTTAAGAGTTATTTTTATTAGTTTAGGTTGAGTTAAAAATAAGGACAAGTATCATTAAATTATAAAATAAAGTTGAAAATAATTATTTTTAAATTATTATTAAAATTTAAATACAATCATATAATAATGTTCAAATAAAATGATTAAAATATAACCTAAAGTTTGATGATAAAATAATAACAATGTTCTTATGATAAGGATGGATGGTGATGAAAGAATAAAATAGAACACATTCACGTGTCCATCATCAAGAATCTTAATCAAGTGAGATAACCCTGTCTTTCTTTTTCGCTTTATTTTATTTCCAGGAGTCCAGGGATGCAATATATAATAGGGTAAATTATCAGGGAAATCACTAAATTATAAAATTAATTTTATTTCAATTATTAAATAAATATGTATCAATTATATCATTAAATTTTATATTTAGTTCCAATTCAGTTATCAAAGTTAACTATAAGTGAAATTATTAACATGAAACTTAAATACATTTATATAATAATATATTTAATCCTTGTTATTTATATATGATTAAATCGATTCAATGGTAATTAAAATCAATTTAGAAATTTAATGATTAAAATATTTTATTCAGTGGTCAAAATAGCATTAATCTTATAATATAGGGATGTCCAGATTAGTTTACCCTATATGTAAATACTTTCTCTTTTAGTACGAAAAAAGATTTAAGTACATATCTTTATCTCGTTACTCTGGATTCAGCAAACACCTGTGTGTTCTGTAATCATAGACGCAATTATATAAGAATCCATTCAAATCTCTCTCTCTCCGATGAACCAAAATCTCAAGGTAATCCCTTTAACTGGAACTCTTCGTCTCCCAAGAGAAAAAGACTGGGTCTTTAGCTTTGTTGGTTTTCTCGATCTGGGTATTGTCTAAAACTCGTACTTGTTTGATTTTGGGTGGTGAGTGGGGATGAGGAAGAGGGAGAGGGAGAATCCGTGTTGGATCTGTGGGCACTATCACAAGTACGAGGAAGGGGAAGTTTGTGGGATATGTGGGCATAGAACTCCTGTCTCTTCCGACAAGACATCGCTTCAAGTCAGTGCTTTCCCATCGGAGATCTTGCCTGACTTTCTCTATTTGGGTAGCTATGATAACGCCTCTCGCTCCGAGCTTCTAAATACTCAGGGAATTACTCGCGTCCTTAATGTAACCTCCTTCTTCCTCCTCATTTCCGTTTTTTTTTTTTTGTTATTTCTGTTTGCGAATGGTAGTACTATCTGCTTATGGTTTTATTTTGATTTAAATTTATGGAATTTGGGATTAAGAATAATTTGGAAAAGTTTACTTATGATTGTTTTCTAATTGGAACAAGAAAGCGTAAATTTTTGGATTAGGTTTTGTGATGTATGTTGAGGTTTTTATGCTGCTACTTGAAGAACTTTGATGGGATTTCTCTATTTTAAGTATTTGAAAGAGTATTTTGGGATTTCTGTATTTTTATGGTAAAGATTAGATTAGCAAGTTTTCCATACTTAATAACAAGCAAAGCCTATAGGAGTAAGATCTTGTAACTTTGTTGATCTAGAAAATTCCTTTGTCAGTTGTAGTGCCAATTATGGAAGTCCTATTGTTATCTGTATGCTTAGGGGTGTGGATGAAAAATTGGTTACCTCTTTGGGAATACTGTTAAGTTAATAGGAGTACTATCCAGCTCCAATGGATTTACTTAGGATAATGGAGTATATTCCTTGGTGCTTTCTATTTGTAATAAGGCTAACACCATGTTTATTAATGATAACTTGGAAACATGGATTTGAGGCAACACCAGAACAGGTTGTATGAGTGCAATTTATCGAACTGAGGCCTCGAATTAACTGAAAGATCTGATGGTCAAACAGTACCAAGAGCGATTCTGTTGCTTTTAGGTCCTTTAGCCTTCAAAAGGAGAAAATGAGGGTAGAATAGTCGTAAATTGAAGTTGTAAGATTTTGTATCTTGAATTATAAAATAGGATAATTAACATTGCCACTTGTTTATGTAGGTAAGCATATAGTGATAGTTTGAAGACGAGGGTGGATGATTAATAAAGTGTTAAACCTTGAATGTTACTGAATCAAATACATCATAATTGAGATAGATAGATATATGCATCAAACTTTGTTTTAACTACTGTGATAAGGTTTCCTTTGTAATGTGTAATAGGGCTGAGGAAAAATTGGGATTGTGAACTTGCACTACCACAGGTCCACAATTATGTTTTTGATGTTGAAAATAATAACCGTTAAACTAAGCAAGCCAGTAGTTTGTGAACTTCCAATGCTATCAGTGATGTGATTGGAAGGATCGTCATGGGAATGTTGTAGGATTGGTGGTGTCAAGATCCATCCATTTTCGTTTTTCATTGTGCTGTTTGTTCTCCTCTTTGTTTGATGTTGCGTCCGCTAAAATACATATTGGTGGCTCTTAGGCATCTAAATTGTAGCTTACAGTTATGGCATATTCTTATATTGTTTACAATATTTCTTTGCAGACTGTACCTGCTTGTCAAAATCTCTACAATAATTCATTTACCTATCACTGTCTGCAAGATGACAAAATTTTACAATTTGATGATGCAATACAATTTTTAGGTGTGTAACCTTTGTGTTTCATCACGAAGTTTCAGTTTGCGGTTGAAAGGTTAATTTTGGTATCACGTCATTTGTGCGAGGCTTTGTTATTCCCTCTTTCACGTATCGATTTTCTTCTTTGCAAATTTCAAGAGATTGGCCTGAGCAGAATTTAATAATTCACCCTCTCTTTAGGTCATGAGAAGCATTTACTGAATATAATCTCTCTTTTTATAGTTTCATAATGAGTCACTTCTTGGTTTTCTCAATTCTCATCAATAACAGCGTGTATTATGCTGCATGTTCACAATATTGAAACCTTTCTGCAATATTTTCTCCACATCTCAATCACCTTTTCCAACTTTATATTCTTGTCGTGGTTCGCTCTACTCGTGATGCCCCGTCACTAACCTAGATAAAAATGGGAGTTGGAGAGTTCGCTTGCAAGGACACGAACAATATGTAATTAGTAGCTGTCGGTTGTATTGCGCAGACACTTCCAGTTGACATGTTGCATGATTTTTTCATTTTTGTTGCCATATTATGACCCATGGTTCATTTATGCAGAGCAATGTGAGAGGGATAAGGCTCCAGTCCTTGTGCACTGCATGTCAGGAAAAAATAGGTGCATTCTACCACTACATTCTTTCCTTATCCTAGTAATACAAACACGAGCATGTTGAAGTGGTTTTTCCTCTCTTTCTTTTCTCTCATTTTATACTAGAGAATATTGAAACTTTGCATATGCTGGAAGAATCTAAGGCTATACAGACTCTCATCAAGTCCAATGTTTGGGTGTGTACGTCCATTTAAATGAAACAAATTGTCTGAGGATGATGAGTTTATTCTTTGCAACAGGTCACCAGCTATTGTAATAGCTTTCTTGATGAGATCTAAAGGATGGAGACTTCCCCAAAGCTATCAGTTTGTGAAAGAACGGAGACAGTCTGTTGATATAAATCAAGGTATTTATCAGCCCCGGCATAGATTACTTAATATCATGGAAGCCATTTTATGCCGCTGTTTCATCCACTTAATTGAAACCATAGGGATATCACATGGTATTATTTGGATGAGGGAAAAAAGACCGTCGTAATATCTTTTGCGACCATTCCAGTGTGATTTTGTGGCTGCTATTATTAGTTTTTGATAGATGATTCCTGAAAGCGGTACTATCTTCTGATTTTTATTTGCTTGTGATTGGTAGCTATCTACCAGCAGTTGCAGGAATATGAGCAAAAGCTCTTTTGATCATCACATGCAATAACCCTGCTTTTCTTGCCTTCCAACCTGACGGAGCCCCGTTCAACGTCTGCTTCTCAAAGGCAGATGATTCAGTTCCAATTCCAGTCAGTAATCTTGGTACTCCGTCTACTTTTGTCCTTTGGCCGCTCAAGTTTACAATTGGTGCATCAGAGCCGGAGAAGAATCTCTGAAAACCTAGCAGAACTAGTTGCAGTGATATTCCAATGGATAACACTTAATTTGGCTGTAAATTTCTAGTAAATGTTTTTTTTCCTTGAATGTTAGATTTGGCGAGTTTGTGCGATGCTTTTCTGCGTGTCTTATAATGTTAATGAAACACAGTCCGGCTCGTTCCAAATTTTATATACGTATAACTTCTTTTGTTTTTCGTTTCCAGAATAAATATCTAATGGTTTTGGAGCTGTTTCATGAAACCCTTCTGTCTTGTCATATATGTTCAATGCCATTATAATAGCATTGTAATCATGCTAGTAACATACTACTACTCACCATAATACGATTTTGAATGAGAGAGACTGGTAAATTTACATGTTATCATATCATACCATAAAAAAGAAAAGAAATTTACATAATTGGTTCCAACCCAAATTCTTTCTTCACAACATTTCTGAAATTATTACAACAGAAATACCTAAGGTTAACGATGAAAACTAGTATGCAATACATGTTTCGAGGGAGGACTTGGCAAACCATAAAAGACCAGGATCATTTCGCTTTAACTCTATGTAAGTTTCGTCCAGTATAACATCTTCACAGAAACCAATCAAGAGAAGAATTTCCATGGCCGCTGCAACAACAAAAAAAGCAATATATATAGAGAAGGATCAAGAAAGAGTGAGGGGAAAGAATAAGAAGAAACACACCTTTGTAATTTGCAACGTTTCTTTGGATTATAGGATTGGCCTGCAACATAGATGGTTATTAGCAAGTAACCACGGATCAGACGTAAAAAAAGGACTCCACATAAAAGAGAAATTACAACGGGTTAAATCATGGAAATAAAGCATTTTCCTCAAGTGTAACAACCATTCTACCTTCCGGAGTCTTCTAAATTTCGTTTCATCTGGGTGTTCAATCACATTCCTGCCAACAAAGAAAATAATTCCAGCTTTTATCAGTACCTTAGTTCACAAAACAAAGACAAAAATGCATGCCAAACAGATGCATAGTACCAATGCTTTATTGTGTTTAATGGATAATAGAATTTAAGGACAGTTGAGCAAGAATACATAATAATCTTAAAAAGAGTTTGCAGAACGACAGTCGCCTCGGTGGGATTAACTTCAGCTCGTAGCATCTCAATGGCCTTCTGCAGACGGCTACAAATACCAGTCACAGAGTCTTGGATTCTTTGTAGTTCTTGATCATCCAGATTTGGCTCATTAATTTTCATATCAGATATTCCCAATAGCGGCAATAACCTATCATCTGAATGAGGCTCTGCTTTTGCTATTTCATTTGCTTCAGCATCATCAGGGTCGGGTTCTTTATGAGCTTGATCTTCTAAGGTTTCAATTGTTATGTTATGATGAGGATCATGAAGTCCTCCGTTTGCACATCCTGAAATCTTGGATCGTGCTTCTCTGTCATCAGGATCTGGTTCATCTATGATATCACTTCTCTGAACCTTGGTGTCCAGAATCAGCATTGCCACAGGTTCAACTACATTTCCAGAACTTGAAGATGCGCCTGAATCATCAGGATCAGGCTCTTCACTTGAACTCATGACTGCTGGTTTACCCAGAGTTGTCTGAGAAACGTTTTGAGCGGGATCAGAATGATGTTTCAGTTGTAGAGTTTCACCATGCAGTAAATCATCTGGATCAGGTTCAAACTTGTTTTGATTGTCAGAAAAATCATCAGGATCTGGTTCATAAGCATGTTTACCCTGAGCCCTAATTTGGCTTTGAATATCTAGATTTTCATCTCCATCTCCATCATGCATAACCAACACAGGATCATCAGGGTCTGGCTCATCATGTGTTTTGGATGCTTCCACATTGGAAGAAGTGTTTATTAGACGAAGATAAGCTGCAGCCACAGCAGAGGCACGAGCATTTTCCAGCAAAGTTGACATATTTCCACCAACTTTCTGAGAATTTCTGCCATTTTCAACATAATACTCTTCTTCCGGGTTATCTGAACGTCTGATTCCACTTAAAGTGTAGGCCCTGGATTTCGTCCAGTCTAGGCTAGCAGCTTCTTCATTCAACTGCGGAAAAAGAAGTAACATTAAATCAAAACAATAATTTTTTGTCGATGCAATAATCGACAATGAAACATGGTTTCCTACTAAAATATGTGCATAGAAAAGGTAGTTTTACCAGTTTATCCAGGGTGTAAAAATTTGAATCATGTTCAGAAAATACCATATGAGCCTGACATATACAGAAGCACAATTCTCAATCAGTTGTTTGTTAATTGACCACCTCCCTCCTTAGGGATTACAATAAAGCTTACAAGTTCGTGTAGAAGAGTTTTCTTTATGCTCTCATATTTCCTGAATCCTTTGAGGTCATCAGTTCGAAGACGGAGAGATATCTCTTCCCCATGATTCTGAAAGATCAAATAAGAATCAACAATAAATTGGAAGTAGAGAAGTTGAAAGATTTAAGATACGTTATTTTTCTATGCTTAAATAGATGCCATTACCTTATTTAAACCTAGAATGCATTTGGGACTCACACCAACATAACCAACGGGAGACATCTCAGTCATTATTCCCACACGCCATCGGTGCTTTACAAAAAGGACAAGCAGAAAATAGTTTAGGTGAGCTTATAGAGTCAGTTAAGCGAAGTAGTAGGTTAAATATAGATCCCGTGGCACCTTATTCATGACAGCAATGATTCCAGGGTCTGAAGCAAGCATATGCATCCTTCTCAATGCCTCAGAAGCAGGAGGGTGTAACTGGCAAGAGATGGTTATCAGGAATATTAAAAAAAGTGCTCTTCATTTCCTTGAATTCAAATACTGACAAATAGCACATGAAGAACACAGTTTAAGATGTCTGGTGCACTTTATATTCACCTCTTAATGTGCAAAATCAGGAATCTAGAGCCAAAAATCATTTCTCTATCAATAAATGTTCACTTTGTTTGTGTAAAAAACTTAAATTACCAATATAACCCAAGTGAAACTTGATAAACAGAAATTGCATCAATGGAATTTTTTTTTCATTATTCATTACTTAGATTTGTATTGTCAATGGTAATGAATTCAGAAGTACCTCTACTCCTGGAAGTTGAAGAATGTGGAAATCACAAAATATAAGGCCCTTGAGGAAGTCTTATCGGAACAGGAGGGCCCATCTAACATTCGCTGCCTTAGTCTCCTTTCTTCTTCACTGAATCCAATTATTCTCTGGTCCACCTTTGAATATTGAATAACTCGGTCGACTTCATCCTGAGGAGCCCCCATCATCCTGACAGATTTTCCCTGAATATAGATTAAACAATATACCATAAGTTGGCTTCAGTTAATCATATCCATATCATCACTGCATTGTAATTGCTTTCAATCTCCTCAATAATAATCCTTCAAGCCACTTTCAAAATAATTTCAAACAAAGACAATTATGAACATCCTCATTTTCCCAGTGACTTAATAAACACGAACAAAACAGCACAAACAAGTAGCAATTTAACTGAAAAATAACAAGACATTCTCGGGCATTTGAAATCATAAAACCAGCTTCAACTCAACATAAATTGTGTCTCAGAGATATCATCCCATAAGAAAATACATGAATTCCTTCTAGTTGCAAACCGATGAAAGGACGTGACTATTTTATTCTATTTAGCATTAAACAATACACATACTCATGGATATATACACTAGAAGGGATGATTAATACCATGAAAATTGAAGCCTCTTGCAAGCTCAAGCATGAATGCTCATTCGAGAAAGGGTGAAGCATTCTCGAGCCTTTTCCCGACAATTGAGGAACAATGAGGCGCATGGTATCCTCCTTGACATCAGTCAACTTCTGCAACTCATCGCCTAGCTCCTTGAGATTTGCATTAGAATCCATTTCCACCATATACTTGTTTCCTCTCCATATAACAGTCACATTCACCACATTTGGTTGCTCTTCCATGTTGCACTACAACATTAAACAAAAGAGAGAGAGAGAGAGAGAGAACAAGAGAAACTTTTAAAAGGCAAAATGTTTTCATAATCACAAACACTTTTTAAAAAATCCAAACAAATAGCTAGCTTCAAATTGAAGCCTTTTTAAATAAAGGCGGTTGATTTAACAACGAAATTAGAGCACCCACATCATCATTTACATGTTAAACGAATAAAAACCCAAAATCTATTGTTGAATTGAACAAATTCTTACAAGCACATAAAGAATTAAGGATGATAAAAAAAGACCCAGATTGAGAATTTCATTTTTGCTTACCTGAGGAATCGATAAGTATTTTCTCTTTCGCAGAAGGGAATATTCTCCTTGAGGGTCGATTAACATGAAGAAAATAAAACAAAATACTTGTAATTGGTGGGCTTTTAATTTGCTTGTATAAAGGAATGGGGTTGCGTTTAGGGATGGCAACTCAACCCGAATCCGACGGGTTTCGACCTGATCGGGTCGGATTTTTTAAAAAAAAATTCGGGTTCGGGTCGGGACAGGTTTAGGGCCCGGACCCGACCCGAAAAATATATATAATTTTATCATATATATTTAGGGATAATTATAATAATGTCCCTCCATATATAATTTTTTTCAATTAAGTCACTGTTTTCATTGAATAATTTTTTTTTTATTATTATTTCGGGTCGGGTCGGGTCGGGTTTCTAAGTCATATATTCGGGTCGGGTCGGGTCGGGTGAAACCTTAATTTCGTCGGGTCGGGTCACGGGTGAAAAACCCTTTCTTCTCGGGTCGGGTCGGGTGGCCCAAAAACCCGACCCGACCCGACCCATTGCCATCCCTAGTTGCGTTGGGGTGGTTCTACGGTGCGACGTTTAAAAATCGGTTAATATACGGCGTGACCGGTTAAATAAGTGATTGGTTAAAATTTAGACCGGTTATGTTATATTATTTAACCGGAAATATTATAAAGTACAATAACATACTAGGTAGCGCTTATATAATGTAATAGGTAGCGCTTATATTGATCTATTTTATAAGTAAACCGGTATATTTATACCGATAGCATTGTAAATTTACCTATTACATTATAATATGTTGAAAGTGTCTATACTTTTTTATAAAAAAGATCGATACTTTTTTTAAAGTTATGTAATTTATGTTTCAATTTTTTAATAGTGTTTCATGTTTTCCACTTACAATATTAATTTAATAATTTTATTTGCATAAAAAATTATTTGATTGTTTTGATATTTTATAAAATATTATTTAGTATTTAAATTTAACAATATTAACCAAAGAAAATAAT